TCAGCCGAAGACGGTTTAGGATTCTGTGACCCCGAACTCGTTTCACGCGGGGACGCGGACGTTTCTGTTGTGCGCGAGACAGAACGCAAAATAAGTTCGAAATGTCCTTCGATTATTCCACAACTTTTAAAGGTACACCGTTTTACGATTACTTACAGTACATGAAACTCATCAAATCACGAGTCACGGTAAGGTATCTGGTAAAAATAAAAATGCTTACTGCGCATGAATGGCAGCGCGACCAGCCCAAAAAACTTATCTCTCTCTCCCTCGCCTTTGCCGCGTCAGCTCCTTTTGTAACGCTCGAGTAGCCGGTGTGCGGAAGGTGCTGTGCTCGGCGGGGCGAGGTTGAGCGCGGTAGATGGGACGTCGGGATAAGGAGGAGCCGAGAGCACGTAAATAGCACCCGCGCTGCAGAGTGTGTATGACGAGGTCCATCGCGATGAGAAAGTGTGTCACGAAGCTTTTCCGCGAGCTCTCCCGTCTCGTAGTCGTTGTTTTCATGCAGGCTTGACTTTGTGTCTGTGACGACTCCATCTTCTCGATGAGTACGAAGGCGGATATACTACACTTCGGGAGCAAGCAGAAGCGGGGACCTCGATGTCAACGAGTCGTCGAACGCTCACGCCCGACGGCCCACAAGGCCAGAGGGGCCAGGGCGTTATTACCAAGGGCGATAAATATTTACCCGCGCTGCCAAAAGTCAATTCGTCCGAGGACCCGCCGCGTGTTTCCCGCCCCTGAGACCTGCCCGGCTGCCGCACCATTCTTGGCGCGCCCCAAAGGAGGGCTCCAGGCTGCTCGCCCGGCCGGGGATCCGGCGCGGGCCAAGCGCAGCTGCCGCTGTTGCTGTAAGCCCCGGGCTGTCCTCAAGGAGGGGCTTAATAAGTGCGTTTACTGCTCGGTCACCGCCGAGGTGCCCTCCCCCCGCAACCCCCTCCACCACCCACTAATGGACATCGGCCCGTAATGCGGCTGGTATGGTCTTGGCGCCACCGGGGCTTAATAGGGATGATGCCGAAGAAAAGGAGGTTGCCTCCTTGCGCCCTCAGCCGCAGACGACGACGTGGCCGCTGGCGGGCTGTTTTGCAGGAACTTTACCACCTTTTAATGAATTGCGTTTGGGCGGGATGAGTATGGGATAAAAGAAATGAGATTTGCTTTACCTTGATGTAAACGACTTTAAGGGGCTCAGCGGTGGGTTACATGTTATGAAGGAACTGAGAGTAGGGATCATCCAGAAAGTACGTCCGTCATTGGCCAGTACGGAACTTCTATCTTCAGCCTCGGCAGGAGCCCCTCATACCGCCTGATGGGTAGTCAACATCCTGCCTGGAGTGCATGAGTGTACTGCGGGGTGGCCTTCCCTAAGCCGCGCAGGCGCCGAGCTACACTAATTAACCATTAACCGAATAAATCTTAGAAAAATTGACGTACCTTCTGGACGATCCCATTTTCACATGACAGTGGGCAAACTGTGATACACTTTACTTTGTTGTCGTCTGACTTTAAAGCCGATTAGCGAGTGGACACTCATTTTTCGCCTGTGTGCTTTGGGTCATCGGATGAGCGTTTTCGCCCATTGTCATAGCAGTGTAGCGCCACCTGATCACCGGGGAACGTCGTGGTGGGGTGGGGTGGGCCCCCCTTAAACTGGCAGAGTTGAGCTGTCCCAAATCGGATACGCCCCGCCCCAACCGCACGGACGCCGCACCCCGCCCCGCCCGCCCCGCCGCTCCCTCGAGCCCAGCCTGCTGCTCCTGCTCCGCCGCTGGCTTAGCCCTGTGTGTCGGAAGGCCAGCGTGAGCCAGCTAGCTGGCGAGGGGTGAAAGAACGTCGAGTGTGGGGAGGTAGGGGGCAGGGGGGCAGGCACGTGGATGCCAGAGTGACACACCCGGCGGAAGTTGTTGCCAAAAACAGCACCGTGCGCATGAAAGTGAGTCAGGCAGCGGGAAGCTCGCGGCCCCGGTGTGTGTGTCCCCCTCCCTCCCTCCCCCACCGCAACCAGCCGCTGTTTGTAAATAAACGGTGGAGTTGAGCCAGGCTGGCAAAGGCGGGGGTGGCCGCCAAGGTGTCTTCGGAATGAAACTTTTATTTCCACGGTCACCTTTGTCGGTCAAGGTTTTGTCACGTGAAAACAATTATTGTGTGTCCGTAAACGACGCACTGTTATTCTGTCATTGTATGAAACAGTACATCCCTGAAGCGTTTCCATCAGAAATGTCGTTTTTTAACTACCAAATTTTTCTTTGGTTATTTTTTACGGTGTTCGTCCCCCTCAGCCAGCAGCAGGCGCGCCAGCGATACACGCGGCCCGGGTGGCTGTCCCCGCGGCCCGAAAACTCTTTGTCCGCCACGACTACTAGACTTCTCTGCTGCTGCTTCATAAATTATGGGCTCCGCCTGGCTCCGCCCCGTCCGGCCGGCAGCGTGTCGCTGATATCGTGACGCCGTGGAAAGGTGCAGGGGGCAGAGGGAGGGCGGCCGCCATGGGCCCAAGTTGAGTGGGGCGGGAGGCCGTTGTCGCGTCGCCACGGCCGAACTTTGACGGGGGAACAGCTGTCGGGCCAGCCTGCCTGCTGCCCGCACCGCGTCGCCCCTACCTCAACAGTTCTTCCAGGCGGCTGAGCGCCCCCTCCCTCCTCCCTCCCTCCCTCGGGGGCGGTGGCGGCGGCCGGCTCGGCTACATATTCATCCCCCGTGAGACAGATCCACCTCCACCCCCCACCGGCCACCCCCGCCTGCCTGCCCCCAGCCTCCAGGCTGCCTTCTCTGTGTAATTGTTGATAACCCCCGCAGCAACAGTAGGCCGCTTCAGCCGGAGGTGAAGAAATAGGTCATCAAGTTGAAGCATACTGCTGAGATGGTGACCTCACCTCCTCTTCGGTACCGCCCATGTCGAAGGGGGAGACTGACTTACTTGGCAGATTGGAGAGCGAACACACGTCTAAAAATAGAGAGCAGGGTAAAAAAAAACTAAAAAAAGATAGAAATAAATACAAAAATAAAACACAGCGAAAAGACGTAAATGTAGATGGAGCAATGAATGTGGGAGGATGTGGGAGGTTGTTACAGCCTTGCGCCGATGTAACATATCCACATACAATTCCCTCCCCTTCTGCCCCCCCCCCCCCCCCCCTTCTCTACACTCTCTCACGCACGCACACACACGACTCTGCCTCCCCCCCCCTCTCTCTGTCTCACTCTCTCTCTCGCTCAGCCTCGTTCTCTGCTTCTGGCGTCCACGACTCACCTCGGGGCCACTTTTACTGCGGCAGCCAATGTGGAAGCGGCGGCGTAAATATCCGCCTGTGTCCCTCTCAGCGGCCGGGGCGTGGCGGGGCCGCGCGGGGCGGGGCTGGCACTATTGGCCAGCGCCAAGATGGACGGGTCGGAATAAGATCGTGATCGAATTAGGACCTCCTTTTTCTGGGCGCCCTCTGGGTCCGCCGCTCGCCTTGCCTAGTCTTGGGGTCCCACCGTGGTGGTTGTGCCCCCTCCCACCCCCAACCCGCTCGCCGCCGTGCGCGGTGTGGTCGTTGAAGCGGAAAAGAGGCGGCGCGCCTCCTCCCTGAGGAAGATTCTCGAATTGCCCAAATAACTTGTCCGGGGAAGCCTTTCAGGGCGGCTGTTACGAGAAATACGAGTGACTGGGCCCCGCCAGCTCCGCGGCGGCCGCGCGGCCCGCGCAGTCGCCGCGCAATGAATCCTGCCCCTTCCACCTCTCCCCATTCCCCCCTTCTGCACCCCCGCGGCTCCTTTTTCTCCGCTGTGGCAAAGTTGCCAATGGCCGCTCCGCGCCAGCGCCACGTTGTGATGGCCTATCGCGGATTTAAGCACCCGCGAGAGCTGCGCTGCGCTAGCGGGTGAACCGGGGGCGGGGTATGGGGGCGGGAGGCCGGCCGTAGAGGGGGCGGCGGGGGCGGTGGGGGCCTGCCGGAAGAGAGAAAGTGCTGCATAAAAGCCCGGCTCCGTGGCACACGCGCTCGCGCGCTCCTTTGGCCCCGGCGTCGATGTTGATGGCGGAGGTTGAAGGAGATCGTGGTCGTGGTTGTACACTTTTTATTTTCTGAGGGCGAAAATCAAGCAACACTAAAACACTAAACTACACTAAAACTTTTTTTGTAACGGTTTACAGGAAGATTTTCCGGAATGTAGGCTATGTTGTAAAATTACAAATTGAAATTGGAAAGTTGCACACTGTTACAAAAAACCACAGTAATAGGTACAGGAAACTATTGGTCATACACTTGCCTAACATGTTTGTGGTCAAACCGTACCTCCTACAGAAGAGGTACAGGATGCACCGTACCAAAACCGTACATCATACAAACTGGGTACAGGAGCATCGTATCAAAACTGTAGCCATGACGTTGCTTTACCCTTAGAGTGTAACTACAGGTATGCCGTTTGAATTTTTTTTTTTTTTTTTTTTTTTTTTTTTTTGGGGATTGGGTCGGGAATTGAGCGCCAACTTCAAAGTTCAAAATGGTTGCATCCCTAGGGACTGGGTCAGGCAAGGTGCTGCCCGGTTGAACTACGACTGCGGCACCTCTGGCGTATGACTTATCTGGCGTGACGTATCATCAGCGAGAGCTAACTAGCGAGTCAATATCCAGGCCAGTGACGCTCCGGGTATGGTACAGGATAAAGATGTTGTTTTTGGACTACGGCTTGCCTGTAGTGTATCCTATACGGCAAAATATGGCGTACGGTTCCGTACTGTGACAAATCGTAGACAAAATACTGTAGTATCTGCTGTAGTTGGGTACGGTATTTTTAACAGTGCAAGCACCATGTATCAGCATTGCGACGTCAAATTCATTACCGAGCCAAATTGAGTTGTCGTAAATTTACAACATTAAAGAAACACAAAATGTAAACACGAAAACTGTTGTAAATTTACAAAGAAATTTTTCCAGAGACATCAGATAAAATGAAGTATACTTTTAAAAATTGATGTTGACGGGTTAGTGAAATGGTGTGTTTTTCTGTTACAGTGCCGGTGCGGGTGGTCTGGGCCGCCCACGGCATGGACGCCGACCTGCCGTGCAACGTGTCGGCGCCGATACGCGACGACCGGCCCAACATGGTGCTCTGGTTCAAGGACTCGGAGGGCGTGCCTCTATACACGTGAGTATTGTCTGCAGCGAATACTGCCAAGGTCAAAGTTCGCCAAAGGCGATCATGGATAGGAGTCACAACCTTGCGTGACGTAACACGCAAAGTTTATGGGCTTTTAGTGTTTGGGAACTAGCGAGTTATTTAGCTTATTCAGACTCGTGAAAGTTAACGAACAGTTTTATTGTCTACATAATTTACTAATTTCCCTGACCTCGATCTCGGAGTTGCCTACTCCTGTTTTCTGGCCTTGTAATCAATTTAAGCCTGTTGGTGCTGATCGTGGCCCTGCAGGTGGCCCTTCAGGTAGTCTCGGTCGGTGGCCCTCAAGACTAAGGCGAGGGACCAGGTCCCCGTTTCGGTACCCCCCAGCCCAGCCCTCAAGCTCCCTAAGCATTCCTGGCAAAGCCTTCTAATCTAGGGATTGGATCATTAACCGACATCTTGCCCCTGCTGGGGGGTCCCAGCACTGTAAGGTAGCTGCGTGATACTTGGCAAAAACTTTCAAAAGAATGTAGAACACGACGAGAACAACGATGAGCAGGAGGTTGGCTTTGGAGACGCTTGCGAGATGGTGGGTGGGTCTGCCAGATGGAGATTGGTCCATCAGTTCTTCTCTCCAGTCGCGTCGATTTCCGTTTATCTCAGTCGGTGTAGCGGGGCATCATTTGCCCGCCACCCCCGAGGGTACCCCGCCCCGCCTCACCCCGCGTCGCCTCGCCTCACCTCACCCCGCCCCGCCCCACCACGCGTAATTTGCATATCTTTCCTGGGGAGGAGCGCGTAAGACCGGCGGGCTAGACAGATACTGCTAGGGAAAGCGGTGCGGCGCCGGCACCACCATATTTCTTTCTTTCCCGCCCGACGCTTTTTCCTGATCACTTTTAAACTTTGAAATCTGTACGTCCTGCAATACGACGATCTGCAATCTCCATGGCGCATTTTAGAGCATACTTCAGCGTCATGCTTTTATTTCAAATGCAATCTTGCAGCCTGAAGGCTTTTTTAAAAATATTTTATTTTGTAACCAAACGTGTTCATTTTTATTATTTTTATTTTATTTTTTGTAGTTTTTGTCCCCTTGCCGTGTAAGACTACTGCGGGAAATGAGTCCCGCTTGGTGGACTACTTTTTGGGGGGCAAGGCGACGACGACGACGACAACAACCGTGCGAGTGGTGAAGTGTCGGCTGCTCCCCGCCCCGCCACACCAGTGTTGTCTCGGTCGTAACGCCTACTCACCCCATTTGGGGCCCGCCGCGCCCCTCCCCGCCACGCTCTCATAAAGGGACTGCGGCCCCCAGCCCCTTACTGCCCCGCGTTACACTACCAACTAGAATTTAAAAATATGTTTGGTCTTGTTTTTTGTCGTTTTTTTAAGACTAGACTTTCCTTTCAAGGAAGCAGAGGAAGTTGATTTTAATTAGGAGGCTGGCTCGGATGAGAGGCGAGGCATGAAAGCCGTTGCAAGGGGAAAGGTAGATGATGTAATCCATACCGAAAGTATTTTTTTTTTAGGCATCGCGCTTGTTTTTTGTTTGGGCTAATCCTTACCGGCAATTTGACATCTTTACAAGGGTAGACAGGTGTTTTCCTTTTATATCTTCGTATACATATATCGAGCACGATTGAAGATATGGGGATAAAAGCTAGATGTTTTTTTCATTTGCACCCGCTTCATTTGTGCTTCTCTTATTTTGTGAGATGTGAGCAATTTAGATGGAATCAAACGCACATTGTGATTTGCCAGCTTCACTGATAAACCAAGTGTTCAACTGCTCAACACTTGTAAGTGTGCAACCGCAAGTTCAATTCTTGCAAGTGTACAATTCAGTAGTAGCACAGTTGCAAGTGTTCAACTCGGTATTTGTGCACTTGTAAGTGTGCAACTCCTCTGTTAAACACTTCCCCCACAGTAAGCGCCCGATATAGAGAAGTGTGCAACAGGAGAGTTGAACACTTACAAGTGCACAAATACCGAGTTTAACACTTGCAAGTGTACTACTACTGAATTGAACACTTGCAAGTATTAAACTTGCGGTTGCACACTTACAGGTGTTGAGCAGTTGAACACTTGGTTTATCAGTGTTGCGAAAGAAATGCGTTACGACCAAATCCATTTGCAAGTTTCTAACAGTACGCCATCACCACACCTTTCGCCGCCAGCGGTGCGGCTGCGACGACTTTCGTCTAGGTCACTTGAAAGTGGGCGCGTCCTCCTGGGCCCTGCCACCCTACCGCCCACGCACTGACCCCGAACGGTAGCGAGGCGTGCAGGGGGAGAGCGGCGGCGCTGTGCGGCGCGACGGAGATTGAGCGGCGACGCGCCGCCCACCCCTTGAGACAAAGTTAGAGCGATTCGCTCCGCCGGGGAGATAGGCAAATTGGGATGAATACATATATCTGGACGTCACGTGGCGTCGAGCGAGCGGGGGACGTGGCGTGTAGCCGGGGTGTGGCGGTGGCGTGGAGGGTGTAGCAGCAGCGCTCCCGTGGCCGTGGCCGCTGTCATTTACCGGCTCGGGGAGGGGTGAGAGAGAGTGTCGGGCAGACAGGCTATTCAGACAGGTGGGAAGGAGCTTAGGTGGAGGATATGGCGGCGGATGTAGGTCGGGGTATCTCTCTCACACCATGCAGGCAGTTGACCTGTTTATTTTTGATGCCGACACTATCATTAGTTTTGTGATTGACTTTCAAACTGAGCTTCACATTTTCTGTCACGCCTTCGGCCCTTCAACACCAGGAAAAGTGTGTTCTTAAGTGAAGTAATACTGCAGATGCAATTTTAAATAGTGTAGTGACAATATTGGACCTGCAGTTGGACAAAATAAAAATGTTTCCACTCGAAGATTCAAATCTGTCACTTCTCTGGATTGCATCTTGCAGAATGTGCTCACAGATGCATGATTGCAATGGAAAAAAAAATTCTACCTTGACGTTTAGAGTGCTCGCATCAGTATTTTTTTCTTTCAAGTTAACTAATCGCACAGGAAGTATTGCGTTACCGTTGTTTTGTAATTGGTTGAACACTGTCCCAGAGGGCACGTTCGTTATCACCCGGCCAACCCGCAAATGGCGCTCTCTTCCGGTTTGGTGCCCGTTTCGCGCCCCTTTCCCCTCCATCTCCTCCTCCCTCCCCCCTCGCGCCCTGCGCCGCGCCGCTGGCCGCAGATTGCACATGTGGAATGGAAATCTGGCTGGCGGTTACAGATAACCCCAAACCGTGGGCTGTGCTCCCCCTCACTCCCTCCTCCCCTCCATTCCTCTCCACCCTCCTCCACCCCCCTCCACCCCCCTTCAGGGACAGCCCCCGAGAGCCCTGCGGGATGAGTAGCTGCAGTCACCCCGAATTCACAGCGGAAGACGTAAATAATCGCCCTCATTTTGTTGAGTGCTCCTTATGGAAGTTATTTCTTAGTTCCCTCCCTTCCTCCTCCGTCTCCCCTCCTCCTCGCTCTTTCAGCACCGAGCTTCGTGCGGTCTGGTCTAGTCTGTTTCTGGGCAATCTGCGATTTGTGGTCCAGGATTGCAGTGTACACTTCCAGAAGTTGGGAACCGGCGCGATATGGATTGTTTTATTTATTTTTTTGCCCCGTGCATTCGTGTTACGTCCTAAGGTCACTAGATAAAAAGGTGTAATTCACATCTGTAAATGGTTGCAAAGTACTTAGTGGCCTTTTCAAATGAATTAAAATTGCGAAAACCATTAATTTACAGCTGCACTCCAGTGCCTTTAGAATTTTTTTCTTCAAACAAAACTCGGCAGAGGTGCGCGACGTGAGCACCGTTGTTGTTCCAGTGGTGCCACGTGAAGTACTTTCATGTCGCAAGTGGACGCTGCGGCTAGAGTAAAAATAAAAAGTTTCCTTGATTCTTTTTGTTTTTCTCCCGCTCCCTTGCGTCGTCACTTGCGTTTGGCGCTCTTATTTGTTGTCTCGGTGTGCGGTCGGCGGCGGCCGCCTGCTGGCCCTTCTCTTTGCCCTTTGATGTCTTGGTTTCCGCTTCCCGGGTGTGACCGACTGACCTTGGTCGAGCCGGGGGGGCCCCCCTCCTCGCTTCCTCTCTAGGGCTCGTCCTCGAGTGCGAGAGCGGGATGGAGGCGGGCGGCGCGCGTCCCCAGGCGACGCCGCGCGGCCTAGGGAACATGAGAGAGAGAGAGAGAGAGAGAGAGAGAGAGAGAGAGAGAGAGAGAGAGAGAGGCGGGGGCGGTAGGGCGCCCGGGGGCGGCCGGCGGCGGGGCGATGCGCGGTCGTGAGGGGACCCCAGACGACCACCGCCCTGAGAGGCTGAGTACATCACAGGGACTTAAGGATGAGCGCGGACCCGCTGGGAGACTAGCGGCCCGTGTCCCGCCCGCTACACGTCAAAGAAATGAAGCGAGCGAAACCGCTTGAGCCGCCGCGCGCGCTCTCTTGGAGAGAGACAGATAACGGGAGAGACGGGGGCAGAGACAGACAGAGACAGAAGGAGCGAGAGGGGGATACGATACGGCGAGAGTGGAAGGTCTGGTCTCTCTCGGCTGTTTCCGTAATGCAAGCTGGCCTGGCGAACTTGTAAGCTCGTGAACGACGATGTCGACGACGACGACGTTTCCCAAACTGCGTTGACGTTGTGACCAATGACGGCCGAGATGGAGCGCGCGGGGTGCACGACGCGGGCGGGCGGGCGACGGGGGGCGGACGACGTTGTGACCAATGACGGCCGAGATGGAGCGCGCGGGGTGCACGACGCGGGCGGGCGGGCGACGCGCGGATGCCGGCGGCGAACCTATTGTTGGCGCCGAGACTTTCCATTTGTGCCGCCATTCGCGAAGCTCATCTTTCTCGTCCCGCTCGCTCGCCCGCCCCCGCTCGCCCGCCGTGCCGCCTGACCCCGTTCCGACTGTCGCCGTCTCCGTGTCCGGCCCGGGCCCGCCAGCAGCTCCGACTTGCGAATGAACCGTGAACCCAAAAGAACATCTTTAGCTTGTCGGCTGCGTGTCGTCGTCATGGTATTCTTTGTCTCGGGCCAGTCGGGGACGCTGCTTGCTGGTGTGCTGCAGACGCGCAGATAGTGATGGGGCCATTCTCCTCCCTTGTTCTTTCTCTCTGTTTCTTCTCTCTCTCTCTCTCTCTCTCTCTCTCACTCTCTCTCTCACTCTCACTGTCTCCCTTGCTCGCTCTCTCTCTCTCTCTCGCTCTCTCTCAGTCTCCCTTTCTCTCACTCTATCTCACTGTCTCTCTCTCCCTCTCCCTCTCTCTCTTTTCGCTAGCAATCGCCGGATGGCACTTGCAGTCGTGCTCCGCTCCGCGGGGCTGGCCGGGCTGGCCCGGGTCGCACGGTCGGACATGGGGATTAGGTCCAGTCGGCCGTGAGAGTGAGACCCTGGCCTGGCCGAGGCCCGAGGTCGGGAGACACAGAGTCCGGCCCCTGCTAATCTGGGTAAAAGCCCTGATGGCACACCCCCTCTGCTTTTAAACGGCTCCGAATGCCAAGATGGCCTTTTCCGGGGGTTGATGGGGGGTGTAGAACGTATAGTGAGTGGGGTGGGGTTTGCAATAGGCGCTGCTGCTGCCAGCTAGACGCTGACCAAAGACCAAATAAAGAAGGCCCGGGCCGGACTGTCCGGCGAGGTGTGAGCGGTGATACGTCACCGGCAGGGACACTTTAATGGGATTGCATTCAGTCGTGCGGGGCTCGCCGCCCCCGCGCCGCCCCCGAGCCGCCCCCGCCGCCTCTGGATCGGGGCGTTACGACCCGCGCCGGCCCCGCCGCCCCGCCCGGCCCCGGGTACAAATACACCCCTCCCTCCATCTCCTCCCGCTGCTGGCTTCCGCCGACTGGCACGATTCAGCGAAATTAACAGTTTCACATTAGCGAAAGTAAACGGGAACGAGGGAAAGGGAAGAGAAGACAGAGTGACTTCATAGGTAAAGTGTTACATGTGGGGGCTTCTATTCCGAACTTAATCGCCCGCGGTGCTTAAGGCCGTCAACCATCTTTTTTTTTTTTTTTTTTGTTCTTATGCCAGAGGTGTTTTTCCCTGATGTTGTTTGAACTGGGCCATCGCGTTGGGGTAAGCGGGGGATGGCTTGGTCGACACGGTGGATCGTTTATCTATGTACGGCATCGAATGCCCCCCCCCTTCCCCTTTACCTCGAGGGCGGATGGACGAAGTCCGTTCATATTTTACTCGCGCGGGTCTGTATTGGCATGTCAGTGTCCCGGGCGCGCAGCCTCGCGCTGGTCCGTCCCTTGCGCGGCCGTGAGCGGGTACCGCCTGCAGAGCAGAGGGTAGGCCACCACGCGGACAGCGCCGCGCGACGGGCGGGCGCGTGGCCTACCTCCCGGGCGCCAACGGTCGACCCGCTGCACAGAGAACGGGGAAAGGCGCGACAAATACGATAGATATTCCTGGGAAATATACCTATGAGGGACTAATAATGAGTGATGAGGTTAAGGAATGAAAGCGTGCATGCACATTACGATGTAGTTCTTTTTGCATTGAAGTTACCCGTAGTACTTCGGGAGTAGTGTCAAATTACGTCAGACTTTTCTCCCTTTCTCATCACGGCCCAGCCCAGCCCCCCGCCGCCGAATGCTGCTGCACGCCGCACGAATTGATTCTGCTGCCATACATCAGCCGTCGGGGAACAAAGAGAGCAGAGTGGAGCCCGCGGACCCGTCGTATCAGTCGCTAGCCCCCTGTACACAGGCGCGGGGAGGGGGGGAGACGCGGGGACGAGAAATTGGCCTATCTGGCTCCTATTTAGAACTGGCGAGGAACTATGTGCGTCGCCGTGTAAGCGATGAATGGTTGAATCCGATTTCCTCTAACTGTCCAAAATGTTACCGTCTGGTTATCGTGCCGAAACCTGCTCTTTCCCAGTAGAAATGGGCAGGATAATAAGAGTGTAAGACCTTTCCGTGCCACTGTCCAAATATCTATGACGTTTACAACATTTTTATAACTGTTAATTTGAATAACAGTTTTAAATTGAACAAATCTGCTGTCGAGTCTCTACTCTGCGGTTTACGAAAGTAAAATCAGTTTTGGACTGCATTTTTCATACCACCACAATATTTCTCAACTTAAAACCGTTACTCAAGATAACAGTTTAAAACTTCGGTTTTTATGTGGTTTGTTTAAAACGGTGACATTAATGTGAATTTTCCTTACAGTAGCAGAGCTTGTCAGAATTACATTTTGTTTGAAGAGTCGGTCCATACGTAAGGTGCGAGCCTATGTTTGCAAAAGTCTTTTCCCCGCCGTGCGAGAGCAAAGTTAGTTTTTCGCGCTGTCATTCTTGTCACACACACATTCAGGTTCTCTCTCTTTCTCGCGGAGTACACACCCACACACTTGCACGTTTCGTCATATTCTCCCTTGGCTTTTGCCTCCCAAGGTCGGCGTCGTATTGTGCAAACCCCGGGCCGTGCTGCGCGCGGGCCTCTTCTCCGTACCTTTTCACACCGTCGTGTTCTCGTACGTTGTTGCGCCGTTGCTTGTTTGTTTGCTTGTTTGTGTGACACGGCGACATGGAGTGTGCCATATGTGGCGCTGCGTGATGAATGTGTGAAATGACGAACTCCGTCTCTCTCTCCGCTTCCCTCGCCTTGGCTCCTCTTCTTCTCCCCCTCTTCCACACTCTCTTCTCTTTCTCGCTTTTCTGTCCCTCTTCCCACCCCCACTATTTCTTCTCTCCATCTCTTCTTTCGACGCCCTTCTTTACCTGGAGTTTCTCGTTAGGACAGCGCAGCAGTCCGCAACGCTGACTGTGTCTGCACTACTTTTTTGTGCAGTGCTATGTTGCATACACTTACTAAATGCGAACGAGCAAATGCCCTGCTATGGCTGCGTTTTGGTCCACAGCATTACATTGGGACAAATAGGAACCACTATTCGGGACAGTGGGTGTACCTGCTCAGCAAAATTGCCTAAGAACTACAATGGCACAGTTATTTCTAAATCAATCGTGCGTTCATGAATTGAACCTTTATTGCCACACAATTTTCCCATCTTGTTTGAAAAGTGTAGAGAAGAAGGGATGTCATAAACTGCTGGGTGAACTTTACATTTTACATTCGGAAAAAATACCATGCGCTAGTTCTGTACAGAATAAGTAATACATTTAAAGTTGTGGATGCGTACGTACGTGTCACGTTTTCTCCCACCTGCCCAACCCCCGTGCGAGTTAGGGTTTAGAGAGAGAGAGGCAGAGCGATGGGCAGACGCGGCTTGTCTAATCGCCGCTCATTTTTCGCGGATTGCCGTCGCCGGCCTGTTTGCGACTCGCCGTCGTGCGAGGAGTGCACTGAGATATGAGGCGCATTACGCACGAGCACCTGTGCACACCTGGCGGGGCGGGGCGGGGCAAGGCGGGGCGGGGCGAGGCTCCCAGGACTGGGCAAGGACCCGGCGCCCTCACCACCACACCCCGAAGGTATTTGAACCCTACCGAGCAGCCCCCAACCCCACTCCCCCCCTTAGTGTCTGACCTCTAAACCTACCCTCACCCTCACCCCTTACACCCCCCACCCCCCCAGCAGGAGGGTTGACGGACGTGACGGCGTTAGGGACATTAATCATGCTCCAACCTGAGCAGCTACTCAACCCTTTTCTCTCACCCCCTTCCCTCCCTCGGCGTCAGTCGCAGACACATCCCCGCAGGCCGCGCTGCTGCTGCACATCAAATAGTAACGCCCCCTGCTCCTCTCACTCCAGACCTCCACCCCCCTTCCCCACTTCCCCCATTCCCTACGTGACAACGACGCGACTCTTTCGAGAGCAAAACAGTCTGTGAAATGTGAAAGCCCTGTCAGCCAATTTAGTCGGCTGCACTATATAGCGCCTGCATTCTTCATGGCCGCCCACACACACTGTTTAGGTGCTGCTGCCTGCTGTCATTTCGGAAACATCGTATACAAGTTTAAAGGGCGCGTACGCGTGTGAGAGAGAGAGAGAATGAGAGAGAGAGAGAAGGGGGGAGGGTTGTACATGGGGGTAATGTGTGCATCACACGAGCAGGCCAACTACTAAATACGTGTGCGGGTGTGGTGGTTAAGCAGACGGACGGGCGGCGGACGGGCAGACAGCGCCATAAGAACACGCAGCAGGCAGCCTCACTCGGCGGAGGCACGTCCAGCACACACCTGCTTCACGGGGGCAGTAATCGTTAGCACGAGCGTAGCGTAGCGGGGCGGGGCGTGGCGCGGCCACTTGCTGCAGCGAGGCGAGGCGGTGTATGTGTAGGCGACTCTTGCTCCCAGCTCATGCCATGGTGTTGTGTTTCTGTTTTCGCCAGCTTTGACAACCGGAACGGCGACCTGGACCGCGCGGAGCACGGCGCCATCGCCAGGCCCAAGGCGGGCAAGGGGAGGTACTTCTTTCTCACCTCTGCGAACGGGGTGCCGCTGCCGCCGTCCGGTCCCAGGGCGTCGCCGCACAACTGGGAGGCCGACGACGAACTGGTGAGTCCCAGTCCCAGGACCGCCCAGGACGGTAACGATGATCGAGGCTTGACTGCTGTCGTGCGAAATAACTTGTTTTTTTCGTTTTTCCTACTTTGGTTTTCCACCGTTTGTTGTTCTGTCCGTTGAACTTCCCTCTCCGTGTCCGCAGGTGCCGAGGGAGATGGCTCGCCTGCGCATCCTGAACGTGAGCGACGAGGACGCGGGCGTGTTTCGCTGCCGGGTGGACTTCCTCAACTCGCCCACGACCAACTTCAGGGTCAACCTCACGCTCGCAAGTGAGTTAGTGGCCCGGCTCATCTGCATAGCATAGGGTGCCGATCGCTGTGACCCCCCCTTCGCCCCAACCTCTAACTCGTAGGCGCAGAGGCCTCTCGCAACCCATTGCTTATTCCTCCCCTCACCCCCTTTCCCCTTCTTTCTTTTTCCCAGACACCTCTTTCTGTGACCAATCAGTTCGGAAGGGATGCTTAAAACTTGCTGTTAGTTGGGCTGGGTGGGGCCGAGGCCGAGGGGCCGAGACCAAAGAAAGGTTGTCAAGATTGGCAGCACTCCGGGAAGGCCTCCGTAACCTAATTTTCTAATTAAGGCTCGCAACTTCTTTTTTTTTTCGGGCGTGGTGCCCGGTCCTTCGTTAGTGCTTAGTAGTGTAAGCCTTCTCTATCTCCCCTTTCCGGCACCGAAACCTTTTCGAAAGCTATCGACGTCCTGTTTTAATAGGGTGTAAACACTCGTATTAAAGGGAAGGTAACTATTGCAGTACAGGTCCCACATTCCTTTCATCGCAGCCTCGAATTGCAACCCTTTCGCCATTCACAGTCGGATCGCGTCGCACGTCCTTGTCAAAAAAAAGCCGCGGTCGGGCCTTCTCGAGGCAAACGTGGGACAAAGTCTTTTCCTCTTCGTTTGGCGGTGTTGTCTTACTTTCAGCAAGACCACCACGGCGCGACGGCGCTATACACTTCTGGCGATGCCGCTGACTTCAAAGCGTATTCGTCCGCCTCGCTCCCTTGCCTTCCACCTGCAGCTCGCCCGCCCAAGGGCCGCCAGCGCCACCTGAACGCCCGGGCTCCGCTGACTCTCTGAAGTCGGCCGGACGAATAGCGAAAGGTTTCAAGTGTTTAAGTTTCCAGTTACGCCGCGCAGGCCGGGGCCGGGCCGGCGTTGCCCTAGAGCGCCCTCGGCGCCCACCGCCGCCGCCGCCTCCAGCCGCCCCCCACTCCCGCTGCCCGCCCCTGTACCTCCCGCACCGCCCCTCCGGGTGGTCCGCCGGAATTTTAGAACGGTGCCGTATGTACTCAGGGAGGAAGTACAAATGAAGTTTTTGACGACTTGATGAGTCCGCGAGCCGTGGCGTTTGACTTTGGGTCCTTTGCTGCCCGCCCTCTCCTGCTCCAGGACAGTCGGCCACCACCATGTCCAGGAGGAGGTAGGTTGGGCGGGCCTCGCTCGGGAGCAGGAACTGTCCCTGGAAATGGTCGTGCGGCGACGTCCAGCGTCCTTGAGGAATCCTGCCGCGCGGTGAAAGTAAAACAAGAAGGCGGAGTCCCGCTGGCCGGACTGACCGGCTGCGGTCGTAGCATCGATAGGAAGAAGGTGGTCTATGTGGAGCCAGTCGCCCCGCTCACCTCAGCTCGGGAGTAGTACTTTCTACATATATATACGTTTTATGTTTGTTTGTTTTTCTCTCATTTTATCTGGCTTCCTTCTTGGCCACAAACTTTTTCCGGTGGTCTCGGCGGCCGTGTGCGCGCCGTTCGCCGCGCGTCCCCGCGCGTTTCGCTTGTTTAGCGTAGAATAACCAAATAATAAAAAACAACACAAACAAGCTAAGTCGCCCATCGCGCGGCAAACGAGAGGAGGACGCGAAAGGGGAGGCGGGCGCCGCGACGCGACCGAGACGGGAAAACGTCTCCGCGGCGGAAGAAAACGAAATAATGAATCTCAAACAAAGATGAGTGGTGGGCCCGGGCCCGGGGTTGCGGACGGGGCCGGGTAGGATGGGGTGGTGGCAGGGCGATGGTAAATTTGGCGATAGAAGGGCCAAAGGAGGAGCGCGACGGCTTTGCCATATAGAAGGGCGCGTAACCAGGGAGGGCGGCGGCAGCGGCGGCATCGGACCGTGAGGGCAGAGCTGAGGGGGAGGTGAGGTGAAGTATAAGGAGGGTCGGAGTACTAATTACGCATCGCATTACGTGTCGAGGACCAAGAGGAGAGAGGCCTTTTCTAAATGAAGTAGAGCAAAACGCGCGCGCAACAAGCAGTGCCAGCCGCCTGTGCCGTACCTGCCTGCGC